AGAGAGAGAAAGAGAGTTCGAGAGAGAGAGAGAAAGTTCGAGAGAGAGAGAGAGTTCGAGAGAGAGTTCGAGAGTTCGAGAGAGAGAGTTCGAGAGAGGGAGGGAGAGAGGGGGAGGGAGAGAGGGAGAGAGAGAATAATTAATTAACTAAATAATACTGATATCTCAAGTATTAATCATCGCATTTGAATAAAACTTGGTACATAAATGCTCTAGGACAATAGACAGCTGATTAATTTTGGGTTAAAATCTGTTCACATTAATTCTCTAATTAGCATAATAATTAATATTTGTTTGGTTCTAATCACATTTCAATGAAACTTGGTACATTGTGCAGACCTTTAGTTTTACACTTAAATCTGTTCATATTAGTTACCTTATTTGCATAATTAGTTTTCAGCTATTCCATCAACATCTCAAGTATAAGTAATTTTGAATTAATTTTTAATGTGTCTCCAAAACTCTCAGCACACGGGAGTTCTTTCTAAGCTTTCTTTGATTTTTTGTATGTTATTATAATTACTACTGAGTACTAATCGTAACTGTGGAACGCAGCATGACCGGTTTTCGCAACTGTGATCATTTACTGCTACTGTCTGAAAACAGGTCATTTACTTAGTATGTAAAATAAAGGCTACAGTGACTAAGCATCAGACTGTAATGTAAAATATTGTCAATAATGTATTGCCAGAATGGAGCAAGAACAATGGCTTGGAACACAGTTACCTGTACGAGAACTTGAAGTGCTTGAAATAAGCGCCATTTGAAATAAAGTTGCCCACATTTAACTACAAATAAGCGCCATCATGAAATGAAAGTGTAATAAAGTGGTGCCTAATTGAAGACAAATACGGTACAATGAGTTGTCATTGCAGGTGGATGCTGCCCTCGGTGCTGAAGAGATGGTAGAAACTTTGACTGACAAGAACCTGGCACTTGAAGATAAAGTCAAAGAAATGGAAGAAACAATTAATGATCTTGTGAGTAATAGGGGAGGTTTTCTATTAATATGTAAGAACAATCATAATACAAATAATTTACTTGAAAAGTTGTAATTGTAGAATAATTGTAGAATATAAACACTGGTTTAGTTTGAGAAATTGATACCAGAAATTGTCCTGCTTTAAAATCAAATTGTGATTTTTTCGCTTACTGATTATTACCAATGATATAATTTCTTGATGCTGTTTAATATTACTTTGTTTCAATCCTAATCTTGCTAGGAACAACTCGCAGATATGAATGAGGAGCTACAGGAAAGTAGTAGAGACACAGAAATGGAGCTAAGAGAAGAACTTGATATGACCAATAATAAAGTTACAGAAGCATATCACAAACTGGAAGCTAGCCAAGAAACCATTGCTGATTTACAGGCAACTATTAATAAATTCAGAGAGTTGACAACATCACTACAGGTATGCGCCATTCCACAAAATATTCTATACGTTTCACACCAAATGTTGTAGTCTTCGCTAATATGATAATGGTGAAATTTTATACGATATTTAAAGAGTCAAAAGATTTGTCAGGTGGTGACAACAACCATTGATGTATGATTGGATATTTTATCATACAGGAAAAGAACCGTGAATTACGAAGTAAACAAATGGAATCTGAATCTGAATCAGTACCAGATCTTATGTCTCCTGAACAACCACAATTTGATTTCAAGGTCAAGTTTGCTGAAGCCCAAGCACATGCAAAGGTCAGAATGACATTCACTGCAATTATAACACTAACTATGCACTATTAGTACTGAAAATGTCTGCAGTCTTGTGCCCAGGAAAAAGAAGTTCTCCATTTTTGTTCAGTCAGTGAATTGATGTACATGCATGCATGATGAACTCAACATGGCTACACACCATGGTAGGAAACATTATGCCCAAATATGGCATCATACAGCACACATAGTGGAACACTCTGTATGTACTTTGTGCCAACATTCTTCCCTCTGTGGTAACTCCAGATTTGTTCCTGAATTAGCCATTCGTTTTTTAACACAAAGTCATTCCTGTAAAAAAAATTAGCAGCAGAAAGCACTAACTTGTCTTACAGAAGTCCAAACTTTATTTGTAAGTTTAGACAGACTCTAAATTGTATGGCCTAGGGCATTGTAAGAGTTCTTTCAGAACAATGGAACACAATAAAATCAGCTGATGTTGAACATTATTCTCGTGATAATCAGTGTTCTTGTAATTGTACTCAATTCAGGCGGTTGAAATGGAATTGAGAAAGTTGGAAGTACAGCAAGCTAATCAACACATTAATTATCTGTGTTCTTTCATGCCTGATACATTCCTCAGACGAGGAGGTAAGACCAATCATGTATTATTAATTACAACCATTTTTAGCTCCGCTGTCGACTTTGTCGAGCGAAGCTTATCATATGAGTGATTGTCCGTAGTCCGTGTCAATGTTTTACTTTTTCGACTTCTTCTTGAAAACTACAAGCCTGAATGCTTTGATACTTGGTGTATATGTACCTTGGGTAGACCTCTCTCAGATTTGTTCATTTCATGATGATATCTTCAATTCACTAATTTTGGTGAATATTTTTGTCATTTTTGGTAAAAAGTAATATTTTCAACTTCTTGTTAAAAACTGAAAGTCCAATTGCTTTGATACTACATATATAGGTACTACATGTGGACCTCTCTCAGATTTGTTCATTTTGTAATGATATCTTTAATTCTCTAATTTTGGTGAATATTTTTGTAATTTTTGGTAAAAAGTGATATTTTTGACTTCTTGTTGAAAACCGCAAGTCCAATTACTTTGATATTACATATATAGGTACTACATGTGGACCTCTCTCAGATTTGTTCATTTTATAATGATATCTTCAATTCTTTAATTTTGATGAATATTTTTGTAATTTTTGGTAAAAAGTGATATTTTCGACTTCTTGTTGAAAACCGCAAGTCCAATTGCTTTGTTATATTATACATATAGGTACTACATGTGGACCTCTCTCAGATTTGTTCATTTTCTAATGATATCTTCTGTTCTTTAATTGCCATGTGCGATGCTAACAGCGGAGCTATCTCAGCCGACAGGCTGCTTGTTTAGTGCTAAACATGCCCAAACATCATGCATTTCTATCATTATGGAACTGGATCTTGAGTGTGTGCAGGCAAATTTTCATTCAAACTTGAGTTCATACATTGAACATCGTGGGACCTCGCTGCTCTTCCTTTTGTTTCAAAAATTTAATTTAAAATGGTCTATAGGTTTTGCTTTTAGAAATACTGGTCAAAAAATGTAAAAGTACTATGCAGGATAAAGGTTAAATAAACCTCTGATTTTATTCAATATTCACGCAAAAAAATGCTACATTTATTTGTTCAGTGATCTGTTTGAAGATGAATGACCGGTGACCAATTTAGCACTAAAATCAAACATTCTGGAACCAGATCCAAATTGTGCATAAACATATTTCATTCAAATTTGGGTTGTCTTTTAAATATTCAGACCTTGTTGCGTGTAACCAATTATTAGACATACATGGATAAACAACTATTTTGACTACCATCTTGAAGCGAAATGTTCATTATATTTGGATGCATGTTATATTATTTTATGAATCTGATTCAAAATGGCTGTGTGTCGCATGACAAATTGCAAGAACTATGTCATGTCAACATAACTATCTGTTTTCTAGGTGATCATGACTGTATACAAGTATTATTGTTGATTCCAAGATTAAGATCTAAAGCTGCATTAATTATAAATCAGATCAGAGACAAGGTGAGTGTATCGTCTGGGTGTAAAGTACATAAATGTGACTGTAAAGTACAGACATTTTTGGTAAAAACATGTTACTTTCAAATTTTTTAAAACTACCAGCTCTTTGCTTTGAAACTTGGTGAGTAGGTACCTTCGGTTGACCTCTGTCATGTGCTACTTGTGGACTAGACACATTTCATATGAAATCGGAATGAATCTTACCTTTCCATTGAGAAAATATGGTTGTGTATACAGTAAGCTATTCAAATATTATTACCATAACTCCATCACTGTTTATATTTTGTCACAGTGTGAAATTCCTGAGAAACTAGATCGAGAAATGGTTGTAAAGACGACCATGTCTGACCAGTTAGCATACTACAACTATCTCACCTACTTGCTTGTACGGCTGCAATCCATTCTTCATAGATATGAAAGGTAAGCAAACCATGCAGAATTCTTTGAATCCTGCATTAGTGTATCTCATGATGGCTTCAGGAATGCAAAATTTGGTAGCGTATTTAATTATATACAGTAGATGAGTTG